TAGAGGTGTCTAGAGATGAAGTGGAAAATATGCTAAAGGAGCTCGGTAAGAACAAAGCAGCTGGCCCAGATGGAGTTTCACCTTGGGTTCTGAGAGAATGTGCATCTGAGCTCAGCATTCCACTTCACCTGATCTTTCAGGCATCCCTGTGTACAGGAATCGTAGCAGACGTGTGGAAACAGGCTAACATAGTTCCAATCTACAAAAGTGGCAGCAGGGAAGACCCCCTCAATTATAGACCTGTATCATTGACAAGTGTAATAGTGAAAGTATTGGAAAAACTAATTAAAACTAAATGGGTAGAACACCTGGAGAGAAATGATATAATATCAGACAGACAGTATGGTTTTCGATCTGGAAGATCCTGTGTATCGAATTTACTCAGTTTCTATGATCGAGCCACAGAGATATTACAGGAAAGAGATGGTTGGGTTGACTGCATCTATCTGGACCTAAAAAAGGCTTTCGACAGAGTTCCACATAAGCGGTTGTTCTGGAAACTGGAAAATATTGGAGGGGTGACAGGTAAGCTTCTATTATGGATGAAAAATTTTCTGACTGACAGAAAAATGAGGGCAGTAATCAGAGGCAATGTATCGGAATGGAGAAATGTCACAAGTGGAGTACCACAGGGTTCTGTTCTTGCCCAAGTGATGTTTATTGTGTACATAAATGATCTACCAGTTGGTATACAGAATTATATGAACATGTTTGCTGATGATGCTAAGATAATAGGAAGGATAAGAAATTTAGATGATTGTCATGCCTTTCAAGAAGACCTGGACAAAATAAGTATATGGAGCACCACTTGGCAAATGGAATTTAATGTTAATAAATGTCATGTTATGGAATGTGGAATAGGAGAACATAGACCCCACACAACCTATATATTATGTGAGAAATCTTTAAAGAATTCTGATAAAGAAAGAGATCTAGGGGTGGTTCTAGATAGAAAACTATCACCTGAGGACCACATAAAGAATATTGTGCAAGGAGCCTATGCAATGCTTTCTAACTTCAGAATTGCATTTAATTACATGGATGGCGATATACTAAAGAAATTGTTCATGACTTTTGTTAGGCCAAAGCTAGAATACGCAGCTGTTGTGTGGTGCCCATATCTTAAGAAGCACATCAACAAACTGGAAAAGGTGCAAAGACATGCTACTAAGTGGCTCCCAGAACTGAAGGGTAAGAGCTACGAGGAGAGGTTAGAAGCATTAAACATGCCAAAACTAGAAGGCAGAAGAAAAAGAGGTGATATGATCACTACATACAAAATAGTAACAGGAATTGATAAAATCGACAGGGAAGATTTCCTGAGACTTCAAGAACAAGAGGTCATAGATTGAAACTAGCTAAACACAGATGCCGAAGAAATATAAGAAAATTCACCTTCGCAAATAGAGTGGTAGACGGTTGGAACAAGTTAAGTGAGAAGGTGGTGGAGGCCAAGACCGTCAGTAGTTTCAAAGCGTTATATGACAAAGAGTGCTGGGAAGACGGGACACCACGAGCGTAGCTCTCATCCTGTAACTACACTTAGGTAATTACACTTAGGTAATTACAGCTAGTTATCACCTATTATAGCAGCCGGCTCTGTTCTGCCTGGGTACGTTGTCCTCTTGTGGGGGTTTTCTTTTGTTTTTGTTTTCTTGCCTGGTGGAGGGGTCTGCCTTGGTTCGTTGCCCCCTGTTATATACATACAGTATTTGTGTTTCTGGGTGGTACCCCCCTGCTAGGCCCCTGTGAGTGGACACGTCCCAGGGGTTCAGCTTTTAGAAGTTAGATTAATAGACCTGGGCGCTGGTTCGCAGTACCCTGCCAGGGTTTACCCTTAGTGATACTAGTCTAAGGATATTCCCTACGGGAGGAGATATGACAGCTGAAACAACATCAGGAAGAGAGAAAGGAGGAGACCAGTATTAAAAAGACCTCATCTTGAAAAGTCATAAAGGACAGGGGTCTTAAGAAGATTTTGACAAAGCCGCCTACAGGTATCCTAAGGACTAATTCATTTGCCGTGTTTGAGGGCGAGTGCTGTGGTGAGCCTGCAGGCTAACCACAGCACTCGTCCACAGTTCGTTCAAAAGGGAACGAACCAAACGAAAAGAAACGTCCACATTTCGTTCACCACAGTTTGTTCAAAAGGGGTAAGCAACGAAGCACAGGTCCCTCAAAGCGCTCAGAAAGTAAAGGATAACAAAGCAAATTTTGGTTGTGTGAGATTCACAGGTGAGGTATTTGGATAGAACTTTTTGTGCCAGAGATAGGGGGGAACAGGTTAACCCTTAAACCGCGCAAATCATATGTACTGTATATGCTTTCAGTGGCAAAATTGAAACCACGCATGTCATATATATATGATTTCGTGTCTAGCGCTATAATTTAAATGCCCCGCCTGGGATAGGGGCAGCTGTAGTACAGCCACGACCGATAGTTGCCAGATGGCACCTAGGAAAAAAATCCAGGCCAACATTCTTGGGTGTGAGAGCGTCAGTAATGAGCAAGCCACCAAGGCTGGCGCACGCAGCACAAGCTCACAGCACCGCTGTTCAGCTTGTGACCACAGCATCGCCTACAAATGCCATAATATATATGATCATGCTATTATTTAGCAATGATAGTATTATAGAAGACCCCTGACTGTGATAAAACTGACCAGGATTCTGATAATAGCAGGATTGTGGTGATATTTAGCGCTGTGCTCCATGGAGGGAGGGTTGTGGCGTCGTCTTCTGACTGTGTGGGGCCACCTTTTATTGACTGCACTCACCATACCAGCTTAGTGGTTCGCTATGGTGAACACAAATGTAGATACTTATATATAACGTGTGTATAGTGTGAGATAACAGCGAGAGTAGGAGGTTTGGAGCCGCCATTTTGGTGAGGGAGGAGCGTCGTCTGCACGACTTGGCATGCTGTTTACTGGTGGCCACTATGGTCTTTGGGCACCATACCAGCTTATTTGCACAGGTATGGTGAATAAAACAGGTAGATACTTATATATAATCTTCCTGCGTGTTGCAGTGTCACTGTTTTTCGCATCGCATCTCGGGTTCCGGCTTGTGATGCTCTGTGCCTTGTTGGCCTCTGTCAGGGCCTTGGCTCTTAGGCTTTTCACTGCCTTTTTTGCCCTTGCTGTTTGCGGAATTTGCAGTTGGCAGTTACTGCAAGCAGCGGCTTCTTGTTGTCTGTTGTCGGGCTTATTGTTCCTTCAAGGGTCCCGGGGTGGGGGTGCCTCCCGGACGGGTCGTATCTGCTTAGCCGGGTTGGTTCTTTCCCGGCTTGCCAGGTTTGGGTTCCTGGTTCTCTGGCGGTCATTCCTTTTGGTTCTTTGACAGCCTTGGTTCCAGCGCGGCTTGCTTAGAGTCTGCACGCAGGGGTTTTCCCATGGCACCGCCTCTTTTCCATGGTCGGTCCGGCGTGTGGCGGGGCTGGTTTGGTCTTCTCCTCGAGTCTTCTGGTCTGGTACTTTTGACTCGAGTCTCTCACCATCTGTTTGATGATCAGGTGGCTTTTTGAATGTGTCTCACTTGCATGCTTCGTCTCGGCGGCGGTATGGGGTTTTCTGGCAGTCCTTCTTTTTCTTTTTGTCTCTTTGTAGGTGTACTGCGCTCTTTGTTGTCGTGGTCTTGTCCTCTCATGGTGGTTTAGAGCCGTCTTCTGGCCGCATACCGTCGCCCTGTCTCGTGCGGCACTGGCAGAGCTGCTACGGTTTACTCTGGTTTTGTTGTTCCCTCTGCACCGTTCACGGGTTGTCTCGGGCATTGTTCACCTCCGACCTGCTTATGCTCCACCTGAGCCGTCCTTGGCTGGGGCAGGGTGCTCTTTTCTATATTCCCTTCAGTTTGTTGTGGCCCCTTCGATTCCGGAGGGGTCCCTGGGGTTGTTGCTGCTTGGTTGGTTGGCCGGGGTGCTTCTTCTTGTGTCCGGTTGCGGCTCTCTGCTGTTCTTTGCATGCCATGGCCTCTTCGGCCGGGCTGTGTTTTAGGTTGTTCCGGTTTCCCTTCCCTGTTCTCGGGGTTCGGGTCTCTCCGGTCGTCCGCTGGGTCCTTCTGTCTAGCCGGCCTGCTATCTCTCCCCATGCCCTTGGCATTCGTAGGGTTGCTGTACGTGCTGCCGTCTTCGGTGGCATGTCTTGGGCTAACATTCAGGCACAGGGTTGTTTTGGCGGTTGCGCTGGGTCCTGGCTGCGCGCTTGCTCGTGTATGTTCTTGGGCCTAGCCGGGCCTATGTAGCTTTGGGTCGGCTGTTGCAGCCTGTTGTCTCGACTTTGTGTTGTGGTTTGAGCACCAACCGCCTCCTGGATGCGTCCCTCTATTTTCGTATTTAGTGAGGTAGCTCCTGAGAGCCGTAGGGGCTCCCCCCAGAAAACCAGCGTTGAATGTCATGAAACGCCACTTTCTGGGTGAGTCCCAGAGGCTCCCCGGTGACCCTCCCTCCCTCTGGTCAGAGCTTTTTTTGCGTTTTTTGATGTCCAGCCTCAGAACTGGGGTGAGGATTGCCGATGCGAGGGTCTGGGGCTCCCCCTTCCCCTTACCGGGGAGGGGGGGGAGCAGCGCAGACATGCGGCGCGGCTCGTGTGACGTCATGCTTGTTGGTTCGTTTTTCCTTTTGGGGGGTCTGTCCACTCATTTGATGATTTAAGTTGTTATCCAGAATAGGGTTTTTGTGGCGCTTACCTTCTGGGTGCCTGTCCTAGTCGATGGCAGATATAGAATGCTCCAAATCACATGTGCATTTCAATGGGCCATTGCTCCTCGTGCCTCTGTGAGGGGGCCAGGTTCTGGTTCATGGTCCCCGGTAGGCCTAGAACTCCACCCACATCAACTGATGCAAAATAGTTAGGGTATCCATATCAGCCTGGATAGCTCCGAGGAGCCTCCGGGACTCGCCCAGAAAATGGTGTTTCATTACATTCAACGCTGGTTTTTTTCTTTTTTGTATATGTGTGAAGCAGGAGTGAATAAAAATATTAGTGTTCTCATTATCAACAGATATATGCTGTGTCTACGTGAAAACCAGAACGAGAATAGTAAGTGTCGGGAGGAGTCCCAGAAATACCTAGGTTGTCGCATGGAGAAGGGGCTTATGGCAAAGGAAGAGTGGAGCAAGCTTGGATATTCTGATCTTTCAACAAGTGCTCACCATACGTCCTGAAACGCCTTACAGTACTTCATCTTCATTATATAATTTAAGGTAAAAGCAGAACCCAGTAGCAAATTTTGGAAGTACCTGTACAGTTGAGTAGTAACTGGTCTTTGCCTATAACTTTTAAGTGGGAAACGCGAGCATTGAATGTAATGAAACACCAATTACTGGAGGAGTCCTGGAGGCTCCCTGAAGCTATCTTCCTGAGATTGCTTCATAGTAGAAGGTCACATCAATCGTGGATAGTGCTGTTTGGCCTTCTGAGGACCAGTGCCAGAAAGTGGCCTATTCATAATAGATGCAGGGAGCAGGTAAAATCTGCAATGTCACCTGAAAAAGCCTCCTAGTAAGGCAGTGCAGCTTTACAGACAACCGAAGGATTCAGAGAAAACTAAGCTTCAGAACTGCATGACAACTACCTCAAATGAGTCGCATGGAACAAAGGAATTCGCTCAAACAAGCCCGAAACTCGTTAATACCAATTACTACTACCAGGCGACCCAGCCCCCCCAGCTCCTGGTCGGTTCCTCGAGTCAGTTCTGAACCTGATGAACAGACTCATGATGGCCTGATGAACCTGGAGGAAGACAGGGTGCCAACGGGGCTCCTCCAGAAATTGACGTTTCATTACATGAAACGGAAGGAGGAGAAGCGGCAGGCACATAAGATGAAGAGAAGGAGCCAGGCCAAGAAACAGCCCAAAGCCACACACAAAACCAACTGTGCCCTGGAACAGTATCCAAATATCAGGCCATCATCACTCAGTTAGAATGCCAAAACCCCCAAACCTGAATATCAGCCCGGGACAAATTAGAGATGACAGCAGCCAAAGTTGCATATTTATAAATATCATTGGCCTGAGGGACCTCAAGGTGGCCAACAGGGAACCAAGGATCGGGATCGACAAAAAAAATTAGGTTTGCATCAAGACAACCGGTGGCATGCAGGCAGCAGCCTACTTGCCACTGGTTGTCTTGGTGTAAACCTTGGTGTAAACCCTTGGTGCAAACCCTTGATGCAAAATCACACAAGTGATGCACCCATGGATGAACCAACCAAGCATAAGGTACTTGTTATTGTTAAAAGAGATTAATCCAAGTAGAGTACGTTCTGTGACTGGAAAGCATGTTCAAAAATAGGTGTTAAATGTAGAAAACCAGTTTTAAGAAAAATGAAATGAAAAATAAACAGTTGGGGAACCAGAAAAAAAAAAATTTGAACACTGCAGGGCAAGAGTATAAACAATGCACCAAGATTGGTCCATGTGTCTCTGAGCAGCAGTGCTGCGAGGACATCCTTCCCACTTGTTGGCTCATGTTCTTAGACACCCAACGTGGTATAGTGACTAGGGCAGACTTACTGTAGTGTGGTACTGATTTTTATACAAGAGTACGAAGAGCATTGAACAGGTATATGTACCAAAGACAGCTGGCAATGTTTGTGTTATTTTTTGTCCTGTTGTATAAATCTGTTTAGTCTGGTTGACCTGGGCCTTGTGCTTGGTGATAGATAGTTAGCCACAGTGTCAAAATCCTTGAATATAGTAAAAATAAGTGTGTAATCAAATCTTGGGCCAGGCCTATAGTGCCAGTTTCTGCATTGGTGGGTTCCCCAGGGGGCCTTCGTCATCTGGTCGGCACGGTGTTTGCTTTGTGCGGTGGTTGGCTTCTCGGGGTTCGCATCGACTTTTTCGTGGGTCGCCCCGTTGACAGGGCGATGTGGGGGATGCTGACTCTTTTTGCCTGTGGTAGGTCCCGCGATTCATGGGCTTTTCAGGTAGCATGTTTCTGCTCTTTTGGTCCTGGTGGTAGGTTAGTTCGTTTGCAGCTGTCTCCTTCTTTTCTGATGAAGAATGAGACTGCTGCTTTCCAGAGGGGTCCTTAGGTTGTTGATGCTTTGTTGGTTTGGCCGGGGGTGCATCATGTGTTGTGTCTGGTTGCGGCTCTTCGCCTTTACCTGCGCGCCACAGCCTGGGTGGCCGGGATGAGCTTTGGGTTGACCCGGTTTCTCTTTTTCCCTGTTCCAGGGTTAGGGTCTCCCAGGTCGTCGGCAGGGTTATTTGCTCCAGCCAGCCTGCGGTCTATCCTTGTGCCCATGACGTTCATAAATTTGCTGCTTTGGCTCCCGTCTATGGTAACGTTATGTCTTGGGCTGACATTCGGGCATGGGGTTTTTGGAGGTTAAACAGGGTCCTGGCTCGCTACCTAGTCAGGGTTCCTGGCCCCTAATTAGGCGTGTGTTGCATTGGGTCGAGGGTTGCAGCCTGCTGTCACGACTTCAAGTTGAGGAGCGATCGGCAACTGAATCCTGGGTAAGTCCCTATTATTTTATTTTTGGTTAAGTAACTCTGGGGAGCCAAAGGGGCTCCCCCCAGAAAACCAGCATTGAATATAATGAAATGCCATTTTCTGGGTGAGACCCAGAAGCTCCCCCGGCAACCCTGCCTCCCGCTGGTCAGCGGTTTTTGCGTGTTTTAACATCTATCCTCAGAACTGGGGGTGTAGATAGCCGGCGCAAGGGTCTAGGGGCTCCCCTCTTCCCCTTCTCAGGGAGGGGGTAGCTGCGCAGACAGCAGTGCGGTGATGATTATGATGTCATGCTTGTTTTTCGTTTAGGGAGATCTGTCCAACAGTTGGCTTTCTGTAGTAATTTTTTTGGTTCTAAGGGGTCTCTTCCATAGGACTTTCGGGAACCGCTTCCGTGGGGGTCTTTGCTGCTTGATGATTAGCCTGCCCTTGGAACCAGCTGGGGGTTTTCATGGCCTTTGGTTGGCCTTGGGTAGGAAGTGGTATTATTTGCTGGTAGGGGCGCAAGGTACTGCACAGCTCGCCTACCTACATGGCGGCCAGTTTCTGTTCCTTCTGGGGTCGTTGTTCTTTTGCGGTGTTTTTCTTTTCTTTTTGTTTTCCTTGCCTGGAGGGGTCTGCCTGGGTTGGCTATTGGTCCATTTCTGTTGTTTTGGTGGCCCTCCTCTAGGCCCCCGTTATTGTACACATCGCAGGGGTTCCGCTTTAGCAGTTTCCCTTGCTAGTTTGGGCCTGGTCAGTTTTGCAGTACCTTGCCTGGGCTTCCCCTAGCAGTCAGCCTGCAAGCCCTAGAAATTCCCATTGGGTCTCATTAGACCAATGGATTCATCTTCTGAGTTCCACCTCCCCTCATGCAAGTTTGAGTGTTGTTGTGTGCCTTTGTCTCAGGGTGACAGTCACCGGTTTTGCCTCCGTCATGCTGCCTGTTGGGTCAACGACACCTTTGACCCGGAGTCTGGCGAGTCGTGCTCTCTGCTTGTTCCCCAATTTACCTATTCTGATGACATTGATGTTCGGGTTCAGGTGGCATGCACGCTGCATGCTAGGTTTAGGTTGCTGCAATGCTCTAGGTTGGTTGCCCACCAGAATGCACTGAAGCTGCCCCGTTTTGGTTATAGGGACCTGGACTTTGGACTCGGGGTGTTAGTCGCCTCGACTTTGGTTCCGTCCGTGCTCCCTGGTCCTTCCCCTATTGTTCATCTTCCAACCCCCCCCCCCCCCCCTTCCCTCTGTCTCTCTCTCTCCCGGCTCTCAAACATCTGATGGTAATGAGACTTGGGGCAGGATTTCACTGGTAATGAAACTCGGGGCAAGGTTTTGCTGGTAATGAGACTCAGGGCAGGGTTTCACTGGTATTGAGACTCGGGGCAGGGTTTCACTGGTATTGAGACTCGGGGCAGGGTTTCACTGGTATTGAGACTCGGGGCAGGGTTTCACGGGTAATGAGACTCGGGGCAGGGTTTCGCTGGTAATGAGACTCGGGCAGTTTCAGCGACTGTCCCGTTCGGGTTGGGGATGGAGGCATTCGAGTCGGTTTCCCCTGCCAAGGCTTCTGGGTCCCACCAGTAAGCCCCCTTCTTTTCTGCCTTTTCCCTGGCCCTTTCCCCCAGTTGACCTGGGGGGCTTGGGCCCCCTTTGACTCCACTTGGGTTTTAGTACCCTCTTCGCGGGGGCTTGTTGTTGCAGGGGAAAGGGTTTTCTTATTCCCCTCCCTTCCCTGTATGAGTATTGGGGTCGGCTCCTCTCCAGGTTTGGTTCCAGGTTCCCTTGGGTTCCTTGGCTTCTTCTTTCTGGAGGGTTTTTGCCTCTCGTATCTCACCTCTCTAGGTGAGATACGAGAGACACCGGAGTACCCCCAGTGAGCACCTCACCTTCGAGAGGTGCCTGCTGCATACCTCTTGCGAGACCCGAATTCTGCCTCTGTGATTGATCCGTCATCGTTTGAGTTCGGTTCTTCTTCCCTGTATTGGGTGCATTTGGAGGTTCCGGGGTCTTCCTGACTGGCAGACGAGTTTGAGCACCTTAATGCGTGCTTGTTACTTCCTGTGCTTCCTTGGGATGTTGGACTTGTGCAGCTGTACGTGCAGATTCCCACCTTTTCAGCGTCTTTTGTTGCCAAGGATTTGTGCGCCTGTCAGCATTTGTCTTCAGTCTTGCGCTTCTTTTCCCTTCTCGAGCTGTCCTTGGACTGGGTTGATTAGGATGTGGAGGCGTTGAGTGCCGGGCCTTCGTCTGGTGTGCTGGCCTTGGTGGCTAGGGCGTCAGCTCATGCCTCGCCTGAGCAGTCCTTGGACAGGGTGCTCTCTTTTCTCTCTTCTCCTCGGTTTGTAGTGGCCCCTTCAGTTCAAGACTGTTTTTCCAAGGCTCTTTTTCTGTTGGCATTAGCCTCTGTTGGTCGGGTGAGTGAGCTTCATGGTCTTCTCCAGCGCAGGGGTTTCTGCTCCTTCGGTCCTGGTGGTCAGTTTGTTCGGTTGCAGCAGTCTCCTTTTCTGGTGTAGAATGAAATGGCGCCTTTCCAGAGGGCCCTTAGGTCATTAATGCTTGGTTGGTCAGGCTGGGGGTGCATCATGTGTTGTGTCTGGTTGCGGCTCTTCGCCATTATTTGCACGCCTCGGCCTTGGTGGCCTGGGGCGCGCTATGGGTTGATCCGGTTTCCCTCATACCCTCTTCCAGGGCTTGGGTCTCCCAGGTCGTCCGCAGGGTTATTAACACTCACTCTCTTTGGACACCGATCACATCCAT